TAATGTTATTAATATGTTAATAGAATTTATATGCATTTTTTGGTTATCCATATTTATACTTCAATCTGCTTCCACCATTTTATCCATGCACCGAAGCACGCAAACTTCACATTGTACAGAATAAAAAAACCTTAAAATGTCTGCTAATGCGAGATTTTTACAGGATTCTTTCGTTGTTTGAATTGACGTTCGCATGATCAAGTCTTTCCAATTCAATCGAAAAAACGAAATTCCCAGGTTTTCTATTCTCTATTTGTTTTGTTATTCTCATCCATGCTACGTCATTGGAATTGTTTCATGATTGATGTTCTTTTGTTTTGATTTTCATTTCGTCTAATTTTTAACTGTTTAGGGTTAACTCGATGGTTTCAGAGTTTCTGAATGATTTTAGCAATTTTTTTTGGGTTAATTTGTTATTGGAATAAGAAAAAGAGAAGGTCCGAGAGAGATTTATCTAAATAGTGTGTATGGAGATTTGGATGAACAGCGCTTTGGTTTCTGATTTTCCCCTTTTATATGCTATTTTCTGAAACAGAAAGAAAAAAAAAATTATATTTTCTTTTTTATTATGTTGTATATCATCTGAAATGTCGATGTTAGTTGGACTTTATAAAGTTTTTATAGGAACATAAAGTTGACCATTGGGGTTTGACACTGTTGTTGCTACAGAATGGTTTGTCGTGTAAAGAACTGGTAGAAAATAAAAAATGAGTTGTTTTTCATTTTTGGTCTTTTATCCCGAAAGTGATGAGAGAGAGAGAGAGAGAGAGAGAGCCTGAAATGTTACATGCAGAAACTCATGTAAGATGGGTATGGATACAGAAAGAAACGATTACCGTGGTTATGATACTCGTCAACCAATAATGGCCTGATTACAACATTCTACTGTTGCATGGTTCAATTGCACTGCAAGGTGAGTTTTTTTTTTTTTTTTTTGTTCTTTAATTGTCCTGATTGTGATTATCACTGTACAGGTGGAATTACGTTACACAAATAACAGTAAGTAGTCTGAGTGGTAACTCATTTTCTTGAGGTGGAATGATGCCAATTGTAATGCTATCTTTTATATTTAAAGAGTATTTCTAAGCCATTTTTTATTAAAATTGAAAATTGAATCGATCTTAGTTGAGGATTTGGCCACAAAAGAGATCATAGAGTCCTCTCAGAAACTACCCAAGATTGAGTTTAGTGATTTTTCAATTGTTTCTTATATATTTTTAAAAAGAGCGGAGAAATCTTAGTGATAAGTAACAGCAGCATATGGATCTGTACAAGCTAACTATGAAATGCATAATGATAGTTGAATGTATTTCGCAAAAAAACTTCTTTGCTACTATATAGATAATACTCACATAAACAATTAAAACTTGTCAAATGGCTCAAAGGTCATAACCATTATAGATACCCTATCGCATATTTTATAAGATGCCAAAAATCAGACTTTGACTGCAAGTGAAAACTCACAAACCCAAGAATGATATTTGTTAACTAGCTATTTTTTATCCAATACCTAATTTTCTTCCTCCAGATTGGTGGAGTTAATCTGACCATTTGATTTGCATATGAAAACTTTCAGGAGAATAATAATATTCAAGGAAATAAATGGCTACTCTTGCAGATATTGTTGTTTCAGCAGTTATTAATCTTCTATCTGCAATTGCATTCCTTGTGGCATTTGCTTTATTACGTCTCCAACCTTTTAATGATCGAGTGTACTTCCCAAAATGGTACCTTAAGGGGATGAGAAGTAGACCAAACTGTTCTGGAGCATTTGGAAACAAGTTTGTCAACTTGGATTTTAGAACATACAGAAATTTTTTTAATTGGATGCCGACAGCATTGAAAATGCCAGAACCCGAGCTTATTGATCACGCAGGACTTGATTCTGCTGTGTATATTCGAATTTATCTTCTTGGGTGAGTTTGTATTTTGCAAGTTTTAATTTTGACATGTTTTTTTTTTTTTTTTTTTTTTTTTTATAAATTTCCCCTGGTATTGTCAGCATACCGAAGTTCTACTTTTCCCTTTTCTTTTGTTTTTATTCCTACTTTACATGAAACTTTTTGAAGTTAGATTGCCTGTTATATGGAGGCTATACTTATTATCTGTGTCTAATAGTTTACATATTTTTCCCAGTTCTTATGAATAGGGTTGAAACCACCTATAGAACCAATCAAACTTGTTTGGAACTGACATATGGATGCACACATGCTCACACAAATACAGATATACAAATAGAAAGATTAACATTTCATTCACTGACATATATTTTAGGGTCTTGTTTTGCTTTTACAGATAATCTAATTTGTCGACTTCTATGTGCAGCTTGAAAATATTTGTTCCACTAACTGTACTTGCTTTTGCCATCTTGGTGCCTGTTAATTGGACTGATGGGAGGCTAGAGAATATTAAAGGTTTAACATTTAGTGACATTGACAAGCTTTCAATTTCCAATGTGTCAACAGGTTCAAAAAGGTGGGAGTATGTATCTTGTCTTCTAGTTATTCTCTAATTACTTTTACCACTCAGCTATTTAGGTCATCGTAGGGGCTATTTGTTCACTAGAAGGTATGGCCTTGGACAGAGGAGAATGAAGGAACAAGCCTCATACTCTTGGCCTCATTTATGTTTCTCTTAAAATTTAGCAGTATCCAATTATGCCCTGCTTACTTCAGTTATGGTGGCATTGTGCCATATCTTTTCTATCTAACTGATTCTAACCTTTATTTTAAAGAAAATATGTTCAAATAATTTTGAAAATTGTTTATAAAGTCTACACTTTTGGCTGGAATATTAAAGACATTGTTTGCTTTTGGTTGGAGTTTGTGGGTGGCCATTTGAGTAATCCATGTTACTCAAGTTAAAGCTAATTAGGGAATGCTCGCACATTGTTTCAGAAGCAGTAACTAAAATTGGTTTGTAGGCAACATTCCTGTGAGCATGAGAGTGGAGCTTGTCAATGATTTGTGAATATGTACTCTCTCTCTCTCTTATACATTAGAGTCCCACATTAGGTATTCATGTGTATATTTCTAATGTTTTGAATTACAGGTTTATAGGACCTCCCATAATCAGTATGTTCAGAGAAGTTTGTTCATCTTTTGATGATATTTTGAGTTCAGAATATGGTACTTCCATGGGTTTTCTCTAAGAAATAATGTTTCACATTCATAAGAATCAATTGTACCTTGGTTCAATAATTCATAACAAGGGAGAGATTGAAGAGGATGTCACCTAAAGAATTAGAGCAGGTTGGGAAAAATGGAGGGGTGCATCTGGACTTTTGTGTGATAGGAGAATACCACTTAGATTAAAAGGAAAATTCTATAAAACAGTTGTAAGGCTAGCTATGTTGTATGCAGTAGAGTGTTAGGCAGTCAAAAAACAACATGTTTAGAAAATGAGTGTGGTAGAAATGCGAAGGCTAAGATGAATGAGTGGAAAAACTAGAAAGAATAGGATCAGGAATGAAGCCATTTGTAGAAACCTAGGAGTAGCTCCAATACGTGATAAACTAAGAGAGAGAGAAGGCTAAGATGGTTTTGTCACATGCATAGAAGACCACCAACAGCTCCAATTAGAAGCAATGTTTTAAAACGCGGAGGCATGATGCGAGGTGTTCCACTACCTAGAGGCGTGAGGCGTAGTAAAAATATTTTATTTTAAGAAGAACAAAGATGCATAACATTAGTTGAAAGGGGGGTCTTGTCGAAGCGGAGGCGAGCTGATACTCTAGCCAAGAATATGAATATGAATTTGGTATTTTTATGGATCACCAAGAATATAAATTTGAGGATACAATGGGTGAGGAGATCGACAAATGGGTTAGCTGATACTCTAGCCAAGCAAGGGGTGAATAGGCAATCTTTGTTTTAGGCTCACTTGTAATAATTTCTGTTCTGTTTTTGTGTATAGAGAGGTAGCATCTCGTGCCTCTCTAAGGGATGCTTGTAATGATTATATCTTCAGAATTAATAAAATCTAATATCATTTATCTAAAAATAATTTCATATTTGCAGAGATATGGGCTGTAACTCTTGTAATTCTAATCAGATCAACAAAATATTGATCCTCATACTGTTTAGAATCAACCTGTGAATAGCTCTATATACTAACTGTGTATCTATCTTACTCATCTTTGAGTTATACTGCATCACTTTAATAATGTTTCACATGTCCATTTGGTCATGGGGTTAAACAATGACCAAGGGTTCATATTATGATGGCTGAAGTGGCTGAGTTCAATGATCTATTGCTTTGTCTTTTAGTGAATAAACCATTAAATGGGTGGGAATGTGATTCCTACCTTACAACCTTCTTTCTTTTCTCCATTCCGAGCAAGGTGGCTAAGAGAATTGAGAAATTGCAAAGAGATTTTCTGTGGAAAGGGTGGGAAGGTGAAAAGAAGATCCATGTTGTGGCTTGGAATCAGATTTGTTCTCCTCGAAGTTCAAGGGGCTTGGGGTTGAGAAGATTGAAAACTGTTAGTATTGCTTTACTGGGAAAATGGATATGGAGATTTGGGATGGAAGAAGGTAGTTGGTGGTGGAATCTCATAGCGGCTGAATATGGTCTTCAGTCTGGAGGGTGGTTGACTGCTATGGAGCTCCCTTCCTACAGGTGTTCTCTTTGGAAAATGTATTATGAAGGTCCTTCCTAGCTTCTCTAAAGGGGTGGGTTATAAAGTGGGAGTTGGCAGCAGGATTCGTTTTTGGAAAGACAGATGGTTAGAGAACTCAACCTTAGAATCCAAATTCCTTCTCTTTGGCCGATACAAGGAGGCTACAGTAGCTGATTCCTTTGATCTGGTCAGGGGAGAGGTGGTTTGGAGTCCCAGATTCCGCAGAACTTTTCAGGACTGGGAATTGGAGGAGGTGTTCAATCTTCTCAATTTCTTAATGCCTTCTCTTTTGATCCACTTATGAATGATCAGTGGACTTGGAAATGGAGTGTTGATGGTATTTTTACGGTTAGGTCCTTTGCTGATGGTCTAAGTGACTTGATGGGATCTGAATTTCCTGTTAAACAAGCTTGGATTCCCTCCTCTCCTTCCAAGATCAACTTCTTAGTTTGGGCATCAGCTCTTAACAAATGTCTGACAAGAGGTAACCTTGCTAGAAGAGGTATCCCCGTCGTAGATCTGAGTGCATTCACTGCTCAGATAACCTGGGCTAGTCGAGGAGTCTATTGATCATTTGTGCATTCACTGCTCCTCTGTGTGGATGATTTGGTCTCGTTTCCTGAAAGCTGTTGGGATTTTTTGGGTAATGCGGGGCTCGGTGAATGATCTGTTGCATAGTTGGTATCTCCTGGGGCTATCTAAAAAAGGAAAATGCCTCTGGAAGACTATTCCAGCCACTGTGATTGGCTCCATTTGGACAGAAAGGAATAACAGATTGTTTAGAGACCAAAGAAAGATTCCTGATGATCTGATTTATTGTACTGTTGCTAGGATAGCTTCCTGGTTATCTGCTATTCCTGAGTTCAGTAATCAGAATATGTTCTTGGTTCTGAACTCTTAAAGTTTGTGGGATCTTTGATTGATTGCCTGGGAGGATGGCTTATGTTTCCCTCTCTGGTTGTATGTTGTGCCTTTTATGAATAATATTACCTAACTTTTTCAAAAAGAAAAACCATTAAATGGGTTGTGAACTCCTCACTAGCTGAAAGACATGTTGGGTTGATTAATGTACCTCTAAATAATTTTATTATATAACTATTTTATCTACTAAAAGACAAAGCAATAAATCAATCAGTTCAGTCACTTCAGCTGTTATCAAAAGATTCCTAAGATATCAATGGTTAGCATAAATCTGCTAGCCATTGTGGACATGTATTTTTTTGATACTAAATGTAAAAATTTCAGAAAAAAGAAACAATGATACAAGTTGATCAGGTGTTAAGGCTACATAAAAAACATAGAGAAAACCAAATCAGAACAAATAATCTAAATTACGTATTTGTAATCCCAAAACTTCCCCAAGGTCCTCTTTATTGGCTTGATCAAATTCTGACAATATCAAGTCCCAATCTGAAACAGATTTACCAACAGCCGCCACCAACCTATCCAAGTTCCAAGCTTTATGTAGAGAAGATGGGTCGAATGGCTCATAGGCTGTTTATCCTTTTTTATCTTTTATGTTCTTTGCTGTAATGGGCCTTATTCTGGGCCTATTCTTTCTATGTTATGTTCTTTTAATTTTTTGCCCAACTAAGGGCCTCTCTGTAAATTATCAAAGTTTAACTTAATAAAATAGTGTTAGGGGTGTAAGAGTGAGATTAAGGTTCGAAACTCTCTTACTCTGAACCCCTATTGCCGCCATCTTCTTCTTCATCTTCTCTTCCTTAGAAGAATGATTTCCATTATTTTATTTTGATTTCTGCGTCTGTTCTAAACAGTCCTCTATTCTCGAAAGACTGTTTTTCTTCTTGGTATCAGAGCAGGCTCTCTTTTTCCTTTTTCTCACCCTCTTTTCCCATACACAGTGTGTATGGAGAACTGAATCGTACGAATTGTTAAAGAGACTTTGTTCAGCCCAGTTGTTAGTGGTTTCTGGAGAGAAGAGGACTGACTTTGTCGCCTCCTTGGCTGATTCAAGTGTATTGCCTGAAACCCTAAATTTCTGGAGAAATATGTCTGCGGGCCCCGCAGGGTGTTTGGACTGGGTGCTCAGTGTTTGGAGGCTTTCTGATTTTCCTTCTTGAAGATTGAATCAAGTTGTTTGGTGTTTCGTGTAGTCTACAAGGTGCGGCTCCTTTTTTCTGTTTCTCCCAGCTTCCGAGTGTGACTCAGAATCCGAGTACTGCTGCATAGAGGTTGGCTCACAACACAGTCCTTGTTCTATCTTCATTTGGTGTCTTTTGAAGTTGTTTAAAGAGATGAACTCCTCAGAGATTGAAAACATGAATGTTGATGAATCCGGGCAGGTTCCGGGAGCCTCTGTTGACTCTCTACTGACTGTGACCACAGTCAAGCTGGATGGAACTAATTATTTGGCATGGTCACAATCGGTAAAGATTCATATCTATAGTAGAGGAAAGTGGGGTTTTATCTCTGGGAGCAAAAAGGCTCCCTCAGAAGATGATCCATCTTATGAGAAGTGGATGCAAGAAAATTATACTGTTATTGGGTGGCTTTTGAACTCAATGCACACAGATTAGTCTGCACTATTTGTGGATGAATTCAGCAAAGGAAATCTGGGATAGTGTTGCTGAAACCTATTCCCAAAAATTAAATGTGGTCAGAGCTTATAAGTTGAGAAGTGATGTGAAAAATTTAAGACAGGGGGAGAAACCTTTAGCTGTATACTTCTCAACACTGAARTYWTTGTGGCAAGAAATAGATTTGATAGAAGCTGTAACCTGGGACACCACTAATGATGCAGAGACCTACAGAAAACTGGTTGAGAGAAACAGGGTGTTTGAGTTCTTA